CAGGAAGTATGGATGACTATGGCAGTGGCGACTCAGGAGGATCAAACAGTAGCTATCGAAAAAGGCTCTTAGAACAGAGAAAGTACGGAAAGACTCCTAGTTCGGCCAGGTTATCGGGTGAAATATCTATCATGCGAGCTGGATATGAGAATGCAATGGCCAATCGATCATCTACTTTACCATATAAGCGACGTGGAAGTTGGCATGTTGATCGAGAATCAAACTTTTCTACTCTGGATTTAAATAATTCACGTAATCACTGGAGTAGATCTAGATGGAGAAGCTTTAGTCCAGAGCGTCTGGTAGTAGATACGACCCATGAAGGTGGTCCCCCTGCACTAGCCTCAGAAACTAGATGTCTTCGTTCTCAAAGTCTTCACAGTAAACATCTTCGAGAACTGGCTAAGTCAACAGAGCAATTGTCGACAGGATTTCTGGACAATTATAAAGGGATTGAAACGTCTTTCGGTACATTGCGCGCTAGGTTAGACGCTGCTTCGAGCCAAGGATCTGGATTTCGTAGACAAGCTTCGGCAGATCGATTGTTTGGAAGAGATCCCACAGCTGAGCAACTTAGACGGCAGTGTGAACGAGAGCATCGCCGTTTACTGAAGAGTCTAATGTCAGACAGTTGGGAAAAGGGAATGGACCGGCAGTCCAAACCACCCCAACAATATTTCAATCAAACTCCAGGTGTCGTCCTTCCAGTTCAAGAAGCCACTCTCCTTACTGCCCCTCGAACAACCAATCCTCTTACTAACCCAAATCTTGAGAAGCTTCTTAGAAATCCTACACTGATGCAACTTCTTGCCAACCATGCGGCTCAGACTCATCAGACGCCAGATCAAAATAGTCTAGCTGATCAAGTCACCTTAGCAGCAGTTGCTGGAGCTGCAGCGGCAACTGCGATGGCAAACTTCACAAACCCACCAAATGAACAATCCTCCTACTCAAACCTTCCCATTCAAACCCCATCTAATAGAGATGAATACGACTGGAATGATCCTGAAACACTAATGGCAGCTTACACGGCCCTTGCAGAAGCTAGTGGAGGCGAGAAAGCATTTCTGGAACAACTTTCACCCGAATTGGCTGCCACTCTGGTTCATTATCGAGAACAGTTGTCGGAGAAGTTATCTGCTAACGAAGGTGGAAAGATGCCAGTAGCGTCGGGTGCAACAATTCCTGTTGCTACTTCAACTGGAACTATGACTTCAGTGAATAACAATTCTGTATTTACTGATACTGGAAATCACCACTCTGGTGTCATGCTTGAAGATGTTTCACGTCATACGGGAATGGATAAGGATATAGTGGGTGAGTTTGAGTTCTATTATTTCCTTCATCATAATTGGGGATACCTGAGGTTGCAAGACGGTTTTAATGACGATCGACCAGATTTGGGGACGAGATAGTGGCTTAATTCCGCTGATTGGCCTTGAGCAACTTAATTAAAGTCATAAATTTAAGGAGGGACTTTGGGTGATTTTTAAGAGTGTTAAAAATGGTAAATGCTTAAGTGTTTGATGCACAATTTTCTGAGAGTACTTTCCCAAAAAAATTGTATTTGAAATGCGTTACTCGTAATATTTTACGCATAGGCATTTATTTATTTATACTTCACATTCATTAACTTCTGCTGGTATTTTTTACGACTTTTCTTCTCATAAATAAAAATTATTTCCATGGGCCAGGAAGAGCAAATGACAACATTAGCAATTATTTTGTAAATTTCAAAGATGCAATTACGGATTTGAGCAATCTGTCATTAGTTGCTTTGTAGAATTTGCATAAGAAAATAAAAAAGGCATTTAATTGGTGTGATTGAATTAATTCCAACCATTCGCTTTTCGTTCTCCACAGAAAAATGAATAGGAAAGAAGACGAATTCTGTGTGCATAACAAAATTTGATTAATTTTATTCAGCGCCCTAATTATGCCGAAAAGTTGGGCCTGGGTATTGCTCAACTTAGAATATCCAAATTCAGTTAAAGTTAAGCCGGTGAATTCAAAATAAGTTGGTTGCCTGTGTTTTAAAGTGACTTGGAGTTAATGTGTGTTTTGGCAATCTCATAAACCTACGTTCAAGGTCACATCTTATTGCGGAAAGAACTCAATTACGGTGGCTATGAAGGTTACAGTTTCGAGTTCCTAGCTTGTATAATAAAAAAAACGTTTTAATTAAGTCAAGACCATTAAATCTGGCTGACAAGGGCATAAGCACTTTGCTATACTAAAATGGACTGAGTTTCTCGTATAAATTTGAGTATTTTTTTAAAAGCTTTTACAGTCCAATAGGAGAAATATTAACGGCTTTAATTTAGGTAGAAGGTAATTGTTTTGAATCCGTTCTTGGGGCAAAAAATGTCAAGGGCCACAATAACCTTTTGCCCGCAATTCATATCGAAAGTTTGGGTTTCTCTCTCTTGGTGGGCTGCCGATGATGTTTGTTCTTATGCCATCTCAAATGACAGGCGGTTTGACAGCTATCATTAGCCCTTTAGGTGACTTTGGGGCCTCACAGAGATGAGGAGGAACATCAAAGTGGCAAAACAGTCGAGAGGGGGACAGAATAATGATTCACAGATGTGAAAGAGACAGACAGACAGACAGACACAAAGGCAGAGAAAAGATAAGATGAGTACCGTAATAGGGGTCGAATATGACAAATAGTCGGGCCATAAAAGTTTGAAGTGAGAAGTCAACTGCTGATTAATAGACTCTTTGATGTATGAGTACACGTTACCCAGGGTGCACCACGTGGAGGTAAGTCTATCACGCACCTTATGCCATCTCAATGAGTAGACGCGCACACAGATAACTACCTTTAAAGCAATTTCCTTAGATGCTCACTTGCGACCAGAATTGCTTCGCTTACTTTTTTCATTAGCTAGCGGCTGTGTTTACTTGTGCTCAGATGAAACAGCACATTTTTAATTTAAGGTCGGATGTGTTTATATGAAGATTTCCTTAAGGTCATGTGATTGAACCAAAATAACACAATTTTTCTTCAGAGTAGGCTAACTTGGTTTCATATTTCGTATTAAATGAAAATAATAATCATATTTTATTATTTTAGAAAGTTTCAAATACTTTTGAAAATTGTGGAATGATAATCGCTATTAGTGCCAAAAATCTCAAGATATAATCTAAAGGCAGCCTATTTTATGATAGTTTCAGGTTTTTATGACCAATCGGAATTGCTTAGTAAATAAAATAAGCACTTTAGGGCCTATATCCGCTCAGCTAATTTACTGTCAATATTAGTGAAAATTATTTCTTTTGTCATTTTTTTCGAATTGTGCAGTTCCTAATGGGCGAATGAAACTGCCTACAACTTCAACTAACGACGTCAGCGGTCGAATACGCAATGTGAGTAGAATTTGATATCATCCAGTAGACAGGACTGTATTTCAAATGCATTAATTCTGAATTTTCTCTCCCCACACACACACACATACACACACAAGAATTCTGATCTGACACCGACGAAAATTCAACGCAAGTCTTACGAGTTCCCAACAAAACGACTCCTTCTAATGCGAAGCTCAAAAGGCAGAAGTAGTAGAGGTAAGGCTATGCTTATTTTTTTTGCGAATTTTCCCCTATTGCATTGAAAAGTGGGATTGGATTCTCTCCACTTCAAAAACGTTTGACAGCGCGGTGACATACTGTTCTTTCCCCTTCTCCCCCACCCCATACTTTTTTAGGAAATGGATTCGGATTGAAAATTGTCGGTGGACGGCAAAGGCCAGATGGCCGATTAGGCAGTTACGTGGAGCAAATTCACTCAGGCGAAACATTGGGCTACCTTCATGGCGAAATATCTGAAGGTACGTTGAAAGCTAAACACATCGTTTGAGGCGTTGTTTATTTTAGCCTTTTCATGCATTCACTACGGATGCACAGTCATATTTCTGGAGATCATGAAATTAGTAAATCAGTGTGTGTTCTCCATAGTGTTGATCGAGAGCCGTGAATCGATTTGACCAATATCAACTGACATGACACAAGATCCGCTTGGTAGAGCTGACAGAAATGAGAGGAACTAGGACGAAGCTTTATTAATCCTTTGAAGTACTCAGACAGTTGGAATGACTAAGTTGATGAATGCGCGCAAAGAATTAGGTCATACACTGGACATTGGAGTTGGTTTTATGAAAATAAATATTAAGAGGACACTTGGTTTTTGATCGTCTATAATAGTTACTCCGTTATTATAAAGCTATCATCTTGGTCTACACATTGAATAGAATGTATAAGCTCAGGTTCCAAACTCCGATGGACAGGGAAAGATGCTTAGAAATAATTCATTAATTGATTTTACAATCAAAGTTAACCCTCTCATTTACTTGTCCCAAAGTCGGGTTTTTTTTAAACCGAAAGTGATTTCGTATGACCTATCGCGTGAAAACAAAACTGCACACGATTTGATCGCCTAAAGTGTTGATAGCTTGGTTTATATCCACCACGCCCATCAGTCAAGGGAGAGATGGAATACGAAAGGTTTGTTTTGGAGGTAACTCGTTAGCTGTAGCTGTACCACCTAATGAGGGCGAAAACGATGTTAATAAAGGAAAAATCTGATAGGGTAATCACTATGTTAGTATTTGTGTCCCGTGGGAGTTAATTTATCTTAATGTTTGCTCAATTTTCTCTCACTAAACACCCGCTTTCTCTAATGCTTTGCTTTTAGGAGATGAAGTACTTGAGTGGAACGGCGTTGTGCTAACAGGGAAAGGAGCCGCAGAGGTTCAATCGATTGTGGATAGTCCGGCAGATGAAGTGGAACTCTTAGTTCGAATGTGAGTCGACCTATTGCCATACTGCATTCCTTCATAAATGCAACACTTATTCGGTTGATTTTACTAGAACCATAGGCTAATATTTAAGAAATTCAAATTCTTATACGATTGCAATACAAGCATTTCTCTATCTATATTTTCCCTGCTTGTTAATTATTTACCATTGTTAAATCTAAAGTTTACATTCTAAATTTGCGCCAGAGAATGGTGTTTCCCATTTTATGATTTATTTCATAGATAGAAAATAATTTTTTTACAGAAATCCTTCCGAAAACATACGACATCCCCAGGAATTTCCTCATCATACGTGTTCACGCCGAAGTCCATGCGGTAAGTCACAATTGACCTAAAAATTTCCCTCAATTTGTGAACGATGCGGAAGACACTTTATTGAAAATATCTATGTTTGACTAATTTCGCACCCATTATTTAATTTATTTTGGTACCATTATTTTCTGTCAAATAACCAAAAATATTGAAAAACTGAGATACGTTTCAGAATAGTTGCATGGCAGGGTACTTTATTTATATTAAACAAGCATGTTGTGTTAGAAATTGTTGTTTTATGAGTCATTATTTCACTATTATTTAATTTTCTACAAATTTACACTCAAACAATATAAACCTAAAGGAGGCGTAAAGTAAAGAAATGGTGAAGTCATCCATTCACATCTATGGTCATGCTACAACTTGTTAGGTTAGCGATCTGTTAGGCTTAGGTAGAAAAAAGTATCTTCTCTATGAACTGAGGTCACGATGGGGCATGTATTGACCATTTGAAATGGAACTTTACAAGTCCTTTTTGTTCAAATAGGCGTATGCGAAGTGAATTTATTTATATCAAATGGCAAGCGTTTTGAAAGTTATCATTAGCCCTTTAGTTGACTTCAGGCTTCACAGAGGGGAGGAGGAACATCAAATCGAAAAGTCGATGGAGGGGGGGGGGGGAGGACCGAAGAGTGTTTCAAAGATGTAAAAGAGACAGACACAAATGTAGAAAAAAAGTGAGCTGAGTACTGTGGAAGAAGTCGAATATGACGTAGAGTAGGGTGATGGAAGTTTGATGTACGAAGTCAACTGCCGGTTAATAGACTTTTTTGCCGTACGAAGATATGTTGCCCAGGGTTCATTGCATGGAGGTAAGTCTATTGCACACCCTGATTAAAGTAGCTGATAAATCTCCTTTATTTCAGCCGCTGACACACACCGCTACCAACCTCCCAAACTCTGTCCTTCCCACAATCCAAATCCCCATCTACACGAGAGCCTTCACGGTGGCAATGGTAGTATCAGCAGTTGCGTTCACCAGCATACCTGTCAACAATCACAACAAGGATCCAGAGGACCTCCCATGCACACTTGTGAGGTGCATCCCATGGGACCCGCGTGTATTCACAAACAGCAGCAACAGCAGCAGCAGCAGCATGTGTGTCGATCAGCCGACTGGCCAACAAAGGATACACGCGGCCCCTACGCCCAAAGAGGCGTGATGGATCAACAGACACCCAATTCACCGCAGTCTGAACGGAATGCAAACGAGACTTTAGCCAGTCCTTCTACACGGACGGGGAGTTTTTCCCACCGACAGCAGCGTCATGTGGTTCCGACAGTGAATATCGCCGACTTTGATGTTGCTGGAGATAGAAGTGCACCGGATACCATCTCACACAACAGTGGAGGTCAGACAGTGAGTGTTTTTTCTTACTTAAATCTTGAAGTGGATCATTGGTATAAGTTGAATGATTGGGTTCTTAAAACTTAAAGAGAGTGGTTTCGTGAAAGCATTAAAATGGGATAATGAGTTTTCAGGTCCATCTAAATTGAATTAACCGGTGATAACGTTGAGAGATTGGTCATTCCGCTTATGAGGAATGTTCTGGTATTTTTTCCCAAAATTACCTTTTACTGTGTAGCGGATTGCTACCTTAGTAAAGCCTGACTGACTCAGAAATCTCTATGGCAAATTCTCCAACATCTAGCTAGACTCCCAGAACTGGCTAAGCTATGGCCCAGCTATAAAGGAAACAGACGTGTAGCACGGAGCACGTTTATTCAGTAGATAAACCACGCAAGAAGTGTGTACAGGAAGGAAACCCAGTCATACAACATGGCGGATTTGGTAAAACAAGTGAGGGCCCTTGAGCTGCTATTGGCTGCGCGCTCTTGCCCTCAATCCGTACGCGAGGTTGTACGGCCGCACATCAAGCCTATGAGTACACGCATGCGATGACGTGTCCCACAACAGTTAACTTGGAATTAATTATTCTCTCAATAGCAGATGTATAATATACTCTTTCAAAAACTAAAGCCTGTCATGTAAGCCCGTTAGTTTTAACACCAATAGAAATCTCCGTCTATACATACTTACTATAAATTGAAGGAATCCAGTTTAAAAATACTTTGCCACGAACCTTCAAGCATTGAATATTATCTTCACCTCTGGACATCAGGGTTATTGGAAGAGTTAAGGAGATATATTTTCAAAGTTTTTTGACTTTTTTATAAAAGAATTTTTTAGATTCAAGATACTATTATTGTACGTTCTTTGCAGTTCGGAAACCATATTTGAAAAGTGATCAGAACCAATCGAAATTGTTTAGTTATTTTATTTTTTTCGTTTTTTGGTTATTATGACCTTAATTTCATTTATTGAAGGCCTCGATGAATTTTAGTAATCAAATGCATAAAGTTGAAATTCTTTAAATTCTATAAATTTAATTGCCTATTGCCTCGTGACTTCGATTCTTTATTTCAGAATGACGATGGGAATTTCGTAAATGACGAGGACGATTCCGAGCCTTATGGCGAAATAGAAGTAAATGAAAAAATAGTTTCCCTCATTGAAATTCTTCACCAGTTAGTCTAATTATTTCCTCATTTCTAGTTGATTTTGACCTTCGATGATTATGATCAAAGTTTGACCGTTCATGTTGCAAGAGCAAGAGGTCTGCGCCCAATGGATCTCAATGGCTTAGCCGATCCGTTCGTTAAACTCAGGCTGCATCCTGATCCTACTGAAGAGTACGTGTTTGAGTCTCTGCTACTACTAATTAAAGCGCCGCTATCTACCCAAACTCAAAGAGGCGGCAAATAGAGGACGCATAGCTCAAATCATCGTTTTCTTACTAAAATTTAATCTGATTTAATTTAATTTAAGTAGAGGGACACATTATTAGGTCCCTATTTAGCCAATTATTACAGCGATGACGTCACCACATATGATGGTTCTAATGTGAGCATTCGAAATCAATAAACCCTAATCCAATACATAAGAGGTAAAATTGCAAATTTCTCTCAAACGCAGCCTAAATATTCGATTAGATATCCTAACACATTTTTAATAAACAAACAAAGAATCCACTGAATTCATCAATCGTTGTATGGCCTTGATAAGTGGAATTGCTTGTGGTTATGTTTAACTTGAGTTAATAATTCTCTCATTGTCATTGGCAATTGTAGCGAAGCATATTCTTTTCTTCTCATCATTTTTTAACATTTTAGTTTAATATTCCCAAGATACTGTTATAGTTACATATTACCATTTGGCAAGCAAGTTTTTTTTGGATAATAGCTGAAAATAGAGAAAAATTTGTGCGAGTATATTTGGTTATCTTAGAGAGTATCTTTATGTTGCTCCAACTAAGCTGAGCACTGGTTGCTTTTCGCTTCCATATATGAATGCCAGTTTCCGCACTTCCTATCATTTTGTCAATTTCTGTCTCGATAAATATTTCTTTTAAATGACTCTATGAATTCATAAAGTTGAGTGCTTATAAGTCAGCCCTTCTAAGGCGTTGGTTATAATATTTGACAATTTTTTAATGTGATAATGATTTTTCCAATTTCTTCTTTGTTAGTATGGATTTGAATCGACAAATAAAGTACATCACCAACACTCTCGAGCCGGAATGGCAACAGACCGTGGTCTTCATTAATTGCCTGAAGAGGACTCTGAAGAAACGTGTGCTTGAAGTCACCGTATGGGACTTTGATCGGCTCAAAATGAACGATTTCATGGGTCAAGCTATCATTCACTTGGGATGTAAGTTTCATTCACATAATTCTTAAAACTACCAACGAAAAAGAGCGGTTTTTAAAAAATTTCAAGCATTTAGAAATAGTTAACCACAAAACACTAGACTAGTGCAACTGAATGTTGAACTGCCTCTTGAGGAAGCAGGGCGGGCTTAAGAGAGCTTTATTTACTCTAAACTGGGTATTCTCCAGCTTCTATGCTTATCGTTTAATAATTGAGAATTGTTTTCTTGAAGATTTATAGAACCACTTTTAAACTTTGTAGTCTAGTCCCTTAATTCCTCAGTCATGGTTAAAATGACATATGCCTGGTGGTTAATTGAATTTTGAACCTTTTCTGACACTATTTTGAGGATATTTCTTTCAATTAAAACAATGGTAAGATCGATATGATTTAGAGTGCTGAAATTATGTTGACAGTATAAACCGATAACTTCGAAGAAATAATAATATATATTTTCTTTAAAATCGAAACATTTTCTTTAAAAATAATTTGTTTTCTATTTTTACAAAGTCTATTTATAACAGGAGAATTGATCAAAGTTGTAAACTCTCCTTATGTTAAAAGTCTTTTCCAATTAGCTAGTTCAAATTTTTTATCATTGAACATAAATAAGTTATTAGTCCTTCCTCTACTACTAAAATACACTCTAACGTAAGTAAAAAAGGATCTTTACACACTACTTATGTCATTCATTTATAATGAATTCCCATTTGAATCTATTTCAACTTTCTAACTTCACTTTTATGCTGTTTTCTAATTGAATTTATTTAGCCAAAGAGACCCTGGACGGGCAACCTCACTGGTATCGGCTACACGCACTTCAAGACATCGTTATCCCCGGATATCGTCAACCAGGCACACGATCGGTCGCTCCTCCAATTACTCAAAGTGACCAGATCAAAACTATCAAGGTACTCTATTTGGCCTTATTTACTGCGACTAACCAATGTGTTAACCCAAATTGGCAAACACAACCTATCATTTATGCTAACTATTATCAAATATGCTATTACTGTGCAAGAGAAAGTAAGTTTCTTGTTAGACTGGTTTTGAAGATTTAGTGAATGGTTGGATAAAAAGAAACTTTAGTGCGGGTTTTTTGAGATTATCCGCTTATTGGTAAGCCAAATGGAAAAATTATTGAAACCGTATTTTGTGAAGTATTTCTGCTTTTAATTCTATGGTTTAGACAAAATAAAACCGGGACTGTCTAGACACAAAGCATCAAAACGGTTTAATGTTGCATTTAAGATAAACAATCTCCCGCTGTGGATCAATAGTACATTCATCTAGCAAAACAATTTGTTTTTTACATGTATTAATAACCACACCCTCCCCCTCCCCACCCTCCCTCTCCCCACCCTCCCC